GAAAGAAATTTGTTATTGTTTGCATGCCTCATTTACTGTGTGTGTCAACGTTGACAAGCTGCTTGCTACGCAACCAACTGTCAAATCCGTGACGTGGCCTGGCCAAACGATTTTTCCAATAAGACTTGCTTGTGTTATAATTAATTTTAAGTTTATAAATCGCAGTGAAAGCGTCGAAAAAAGAATATCAAAACGATGACTACCTATGAGGAGTTCATCCAGCAAAACGAAGATCGTGACGGCGTCCGCCTTACATGGAATGTTTGGCCATCAAGTCGCATCGATGCCAGCCGCCTGGTCGTCCCGCTTGCGTGTCTCTATCAACCCATCAAGGAGCGTCCCGACTTGCCACCGATACAATATGAGCCGGTGCTGTGCACGCGCAGCAATTGCCGCGCCATATTGAATCCATTGTGCCAAGTTGACTATCGTGCCAAGCTCTGGGTGTGCAATTTTTGCTTTCAACGAAATCCCGTGAGTATTTCAGTTGGACTTTCCGGACTGTAGCCTAACGCATGGCATTTCAGTTTCCTCCACAATATGCAGCCATATCAGAGCAACATCAGCCCGCTGAGCTAATACCTGGCTTCAGCACCATTGAATACACCATCGCTAGGGCGGCCACAATGCCGCCTGTATTCATATTCCTGGTGGATACTTGCATGGATGAGGAGGAGCTGGACGCTCTGAAAGACTCGCTGCAAATGTCGTTGAGCTTGCTGCCGCCCAATGCTCTCGTGGGCCTCATTACCTTCGGCAAGATGATTCAGGTGCACGAGCTGGGCACTGATGGCTGCTCCAAGAGCTATGTGTTCCGAGGCACCAAGGATCTGACGGCCAAGCAAGTTCACGATATGCTGGGCATTGGACGCGGTGGGGTGGCACCGACGCCACATCAGCCGCAGCAGCAACCAGGTCAGCCGGGTCAGATGCCCAATGCGCCGGGCGTAGGGGGGGCCGGACAACATTTGCCACCCGCTCATCGCTTCCTGCAGCCGATCAGCCAGTGTGACACGGCACTGGGTGATCTGCTGAGCGAATTGCAACGCGACCCTTGGCCGGTGCCGCAGGGCAAGCGCTATCTGCGCTCCACAGGCGCTGCACTTTCGATTGCGGTTGGTCTGCTGGAGTGCACGTACCCGAATACGGGTGGTCGGATCATGACCTTTGTGGGTGGCCCTTGCTCCCAGGGCCCCGGCCAAGTGGTTGACGATGAACTCAAGCATCCCATACGTTCCCATCATGACATACACAAGGACAATGCCAAATATATGAAGAAAGCGATCAAACATTACGATGCTCTGGCCTTGCGGGCGGCTACCAATGGCCATGGCATCGATATATACTCGTGCGCGCTCGACCAGACCGGCCTCATGGAGATGAAACAATTGTGCAACTCCACGGGCGGTCACATGGTCATGGGCGACTCATTCAATTCGTCGCTCTTCAAGCAGACATTCCAGCGCGTGTTTGCGCGCGATGCGCGAAACGATCTAAAGATGGCATTCAATGCCACGCTCGAGGTGAAGTGCTCGCGCGAGCTGAAAATCTCTGGCGGGATCGGCTCGTGTGTGTCGCTGAATGTGAAGAGCCCGTCGGTGTCGGATGTGGAGATCGGCATGGGCAATACAGTGCAATGGAAATTGTGTGCATTCAATCCCAGCTCCACTGTCGCCTTCTTCTTCGAGGTGGTCAACCAGCATGCGGCGCCCATACCGCAAGGTGGACGGGGCTGCATACAGTTCATCACCCAATACCAGCATCCAAGCGGTCAGCGGCGCATTCGAGTCACCACACTGGCCAGAAAGTGAGAACTCCCAGCCATATATATGCCTTCGCTATATAAAACTAATTCTTATTTACTGTCTTTAAGCTGGGCGGATGCCAACACCAATATACAGCACATCAGCGCAGGCTTCGATCAGGAGGCGGCTGCGGTGCTAATGGCCCGCATGGTTGTCTACCGCGCCGAGACAGACGAGGGGCCGGACATCCTGCGCTGGGTGGATCGCCAGTTGATTCGCTTGGTAAATCAGTGTCTATAATATAACCATAATCAATTCTCAATGTCCACTTCGACTTCTCTCTTGCAGTGCCAGAAGTTTGGCGAGTATTCCAAGGATGATCCGAACAGTTTCCGTCTGTCGCCCACTTTCAGCCTCTTTCCGCAGTTCATGTACCATTTGCGCCGTTCGCAGTTCCTGCAGGTCTTCAACAATTCGCCCGATGAGACCACATTCTATCGACACATGCTAATGCGCGAGGACCTCACACAGTCCCTGATCATGATACAGCCCATTCTTTATAGCTATTCTTTTAATGGGCCGCCGGAGCCGGTGCTGCTAGATACCGCTTCGATTCAAGCGGATCGCATACTGCTGATGGACACCTTCTTCCAGATACTCATCTATCACGGCGAGACGATTGCCCAATGGCGTGCGCTCAAATATCAGGATATGCCCGAGTATGAGAACTTCAAGCAGCTGCTGCAGGCACCAGTTGACGATGCCCAGGAGATTCTGCAGACGCGTTTCCCCATGCCCCGTTACATTGACACCGAGCATGGCGGCTCGCAGGCACGCTTCCTGCTCTCCAAGGTCAATCCCTCGCAGACGCACAACAACATGTATGCCTATGGCCAGGTACGTCCATTAGCTGTGATTCGAGCATATTATTGATTTTTAATCTATTGAAACATTACGTTTTCGTTTTTGTTTTACTTTTCTCATTGTGTCCGCTCAACTGCCTTTTGCTCCTTCTTCTACCCTCGTTGTTGTTCTTCTTGTTGTTGTCACTCGCAGGCGCCAATTGGTCAGACGACGGTAGTAAAACACAAACAGTTCTATTTTATTCCTCTTTGGTTAAATATATATTTCCTCTTTGGGTTTGGTTTTAAAGTTGCTTTGCTTCTTCTACAACTCTCTGCTCTGCTTTTGGTGTTGGCGCTGCTGCAGCGAAAAACCCTTTTTAGATCATCAAAATTCGAAAATTCCTTTTGCTAATTCCCATTTGAATCCTCTTCAACAGGATGGCGGCGCTCCCGTGCTCACGGATGATGTCTCGCTGCAGCTGTTCATGGAGCATCTGAAGAAATTGGCCGTCTCATCGACCACATAGATAGCACCTGGCATGGATTCTGGCTAGACTTATTAGTTATATACATATATATTATATATTTTAACCACATCTATTTGTGCAGTTACCGCCTGGTTAGACCACTACTACAATAAACCACATTCATACATATTTACACGTTTTTATTTCAAGCTCAAAACTAACTAATAAAAAACCAAAACTCGAAGTTAATAAATATTTTAGGCTGACTGTTAAACAAATGCATGAATTTCACTTTAGAGCGGAATGAAATTAACTAGCGTAAAAGCAATCAACAATAATCATAGTATATAAGTTACTAATACAATTGAATATGCCTCGGACTTGATATATACCCACATAAATATATATGGCTAACTATATATATTTGCGTGTATATATATTAATTGGACTAAACACTATTTGGTTCACAGTGACTAAGACATTTTAAATATTGTTTCGCTGCGTGTGCTGCAGCACTAGTTGAGGAATCGTATGGACATCTTTTGGTCGACATCGGTCCGTTCCAGAGCCTTGCAGAAGTCCTCGAACGAGATCTTGCCCTGACAGCACAGATCCGCCTCCAGAATTGTGCGCTCCGCAATGCTGACCAGTTGATCTTGACTGATGTTCGCGCCGACCATCATGTGGAGGATCGAGAGCAGCTCGTCCCGGCTGATGACACCATCGTCGTCCAGGTCGTACATCTTGAAGGCGAACTTCAGCTTCTCCTCACGACTGTTCAGCTTGCTCTGCTTGTTGTCCCGCAGCGGTCGGAAGTGGGCCAACACATTCATGAACTGGCGAAAGTTCACCCGATCGTCGGAGCTCTCGGCGAAGAAAGAGTGCACGATGCGCTCGCAGAGCGGATTGATTGCCAGCTCGGGTATGCGCATCAGATCCTCGCGGGAGAGCGTGCCGCAGTCATTGCGATCCAGCGAAGTGAAGCGCGAGTAAAGGCGCTCAATTTGGTTGGGTGTAACTGTAAAGAGTGGAGGGCAGAGAAAACGTAAGAGGTTGGAGTCCAGTCAGTTGATAATAAATGTACAGTGACATGAGCCATTATCAGAGATATGAACACTCGTTGGATATCTACCGTTATAGCTGAGCGCCTTATCACACACGAATTACACCTACTCGAGCAACTGATAAACACAAGCATTCGTTTGCTTGTGTATTGCTTGGAGGGGAAACATCAAAAGTCAACGCGTAAATAGCCTTTGCTCCAGTGACGTCATAAACTCAATTTATGATACCTTACATAAATGCATGAAGCCTTTTTGAGTGCATTCAAGAAGAACAGTTACACGTTCAATCACACTCAAGTCTCGCTGGCTCTCTCTCTGCCAACTGGTGTGGGTAGAGTTCATATGCTAATTGATTTTGGACTACGGCAAATAATTGCAGCGACGAGGAAAGGCTATAATTAGTTTCGCCACTTAAGTGCAAAGTATCCGAACACAATGTAAAGCTTTTAGCAACTGCGTATTTGTTTTGAACTGAAATTTTGGGAAATTTACAGCTGAAGGAAGGGTATCAAGTCCAAGGTTACGTTAGCTACCTTAGCTTAGTTTGGGTAATAGGTATTGCTGTGATATTCTATTACTTATTATACTTACAGCCAGTTTCATTTTGTATCTGTGCAATTTCCTCGTGCCGCAGAAAGAGCGAAGACTTATTGCCCATTATTGACGGCTTATTTAAACCAATGAGAGCGACACAAACACAAAATTTCTACTGAATTGAATGGTTTATAATGTGACCGAGTATTGCGACTACGCGAATGCCAACATGCACACTTTAGCATTGCCAACTGCGATTCGTGTCATCAATTGTGGCGGCAAACCGATAGGCATCTAATCGTGATGTGATTATCGGCATATAAACAAATTTTATTTTCCAAAAGAATAACAAGTTTTGGTTGCTCGAATGCAAATGGAAAAATTAAATCAGACTTTAACAGCTGTTAAGAACTTACGCTCAAGTGTCCGTCAGTGTTTTGAGCACCTGGCCGATGGCACCGATGGCGAAGCTATCGAGGAAAGCCGCAATAAATTTGTGCACGATTTTCAGGAAAGATTTGCATCCCTCAACTCGCAAATACGGTGAGTAGATGTAAATGTAAATTTTTTACTCTAATTTGATCGTTTTTTAATGCTTACAGTGACTTGGAGCAGCTTGTTAATGGGCTCCAGGTGCCGCCGTCAGCCTACCACTTGGGCAACACCACATTTCTTGCCCAGGAAACGACGCAGGAGCGTCAGGCGCTTTATCCGCAGCTGGTGAACAGCTACAAGTGGATCGATAAGGTGCACGATCATAGCATGTTGGCGTTCAACAACCTCAATCAGAACACGCTACGTCGATCCTACAACTATTGTTCGCAGAAGCGCCAGCGCTTGCCGTTCTCCTCCTTCAACAACGATCCGGAGTGAGTGACTAAAAATTATTATAATTTACATTGGTTTACATGTATCTTTTCTGCTTAGTCACATTGATAAGCTGCTAAGTGACATTAGCCATCCGCCGCACACAACGTATAAAGTATTTCATCCGTTTGGCTCCAATGCGGTGGCCATCGTCTCCATCAGCAACGTGCTGAAGGCGGCGATTGTCTTTAAAGGCGTGCTCATCGAATGGGTGACCATCAAGGGCTACGACGAAATACTCGAGCACGACGATCTGTGGGCGGAATCGCGCTATGAGGTGTTCCGCAAGGTGCAGGAGCACGCCCACTCTGCCATGCTGCACTTCTTCTCGCCCACGTTGCCCGATCTGGCTGTGAAGAGCTACATGACCTGGCTCAACAGTTACCTCAAGCTCTTTTTGGAGCCCTGCAAGCGTTGCGGGAAATACATTGCGAACGGCTTGCCGCCCACGTGGAGGGACTTGCGCACATTAGAGCCATTCCACGAGGACTGCCGCAACAGCTAAACAATACACAAACACTTATACATATACATATATATATTTTTAACATATTGATAAGCATAACTTTATACTTCATTTATTTCAAAAAACAAAAAAAATTATATGTATGTATTTTGAATGCAATCGCCGCGTCTCGCGGCTAAATAACTACAACGGTTTAATGCAGGTTTTAATGGCCAGTTGAGGTGGCATTGGTGGGTGCTCCTCCTACGGGCACACCATGCTGCAGACACATGCGCTCGAAATTCCGACGCAATGTGGCGCGCAGCTGCTCGCGTTGACGCTGTACTTGCTCGCGCTGGTATTGATAGGCCAGCACCACCTCTTGGGGAATGTAACAGCAGTTCTCATCGTCCTCATCGTCGAAAAAGTCCTGGAATCGAATGTGAACAAATCAAGAATTAAAAAAGAGCTTGGAGTCATGGCATGATGGCTGCTACTAACCAACATCTGCAGCAATGAGAACTTTTCGTCCGATTGCGTCTGCTGACCATAGACCGAATCGGAGACATAACTGTTGGGTGCCGCAACATCAACAACGGATTCCTCCTCTTCTTCTTCCGCCATCATGTCGTAATTATGATGATTGCACAGTCCGTCCGAGCAGGAGACTTCGGAGCCTTCCAGGGACGAGACTGCACTGGAGATGCGCGAATTGGCATGCGATGCGTGTGGATCGCTGCCATAGCCAGAGTCGCGCACATCCTGCTCGCAGGGACAATTCGGCATGGGTGCTAAACAGTCGTTGCATTTTGTAGCCTTGGGCACCGCGTCCAGGTGCTCATCAACACACAACTTCTTTTTATGCTTTTTGCTAGCAGACTTTTGCTTCTTTTTCTTCGGTTGCTTCTTCGATTTCGATTTCGTTGGTTTCTCACTTGGCGTCGGCGGCTTTGGCTCTGGTTCTGCATCGGCATCAACATCAACGTCAGCGTCTGCACAAACCATAACAATGCCATCGTCGATGGCATCATCAGTAGCATCCACAGTCGGTTCAGTGTTTGCTTCAGCCTCACCGTTTACGCCATCCTCTTCCTCCTCGCAGTCCGTTTCGGCAGCGTCGTTCGCATTGTTATCGTTCTCACACAGACGATGCATGTTCTTCTTCTCATCCTTCTTCTTCTTCTTCTTGAGCTTCTTTTGCTCGCGCTTCAGCTCCTTGGCCTTCTCGGCCCGACTGATCTCCTGATAGAGCAGCTCCAAGTTACTAATGCCCTGCTTCTGCTCCACGCGCTCATGAAAGCTGCGACAGAGCGCATGTACGCCCACAGCGGCCAGCACTTGACAGGCGCGCTCCTCCTCACGCAGACTAACATAAATGCGACGCAAGCGCTCGTACATGATCATGCCAACGCATGTGAGCACCTCCTCCTGGGCGATTTCCAACGTTTTCGCATGGCGTTCGCGCAGCTTCGAGTAGCTTCCATTCACCTCCGGCTCGGCACGCTTGATCAGCGCATCAAGGAACTCAATTTTATTCGTGCTCACATGTATGTGCTCGTCGGGCACACATTTGCGGATGTGCGCATACAGCTGTGCCGCATAGCCCTTCTCCTTGGTGGATATCTCGCCAATGAGTATTTTATAAGCACGCTCGATCTGTATTTGAATTATAATTTTATTATCGAATGATATCCCCTATTGTGTGGTTGGTTACTTACCTTTGTGCGACAGCCGGCGCAAAACTTGTGCTTCTTCAAATACTTGTCGAGCACTTCCTGCAATTCTTTCGTTTCAATGATGGTCACCTCAGTGCGGCAAGTGCTTTTCATCGCGGACCACACTTCACGCCAGGTTTCCGAAAACGGTTTGGCACGGAACGTGTCTAACGAATGCAGCACACAGCGTGTCTTGTTGCGCAGCTTATTATCGAGCAGATTGTTGAGTACCTCGTGATGCCGATATAGCAGCGTGCCCAGTGCTTGGGGTGTTTTCAATTTCTCCTCCGTTATGCCCAGGGTGCAATTGTTGCGCAGCTCAAGCGGGTCAACCGTTTTATGTCCGGACTCAGCTAGCTGGTAAAACAGACGCTCCACCCGTCGCCGACAACCCACACACTGGACGCACTGATTGAGCACCGAAATGAAGCCGGTGCTATCAATCACAAGCGATTGCTTGCGTTCCGTCTCTGTGAGCAGATTAAATTTACGTGAGAATTCCTCCAGTTCGCGACCCCGTATCTGTGGGCTGTCAATGACAAGTCCTTTGCTGTTCAGGTCCATTAGCATCTGGCGATCACGTATAAAGACAATGATTGAAATTCAGATCAATTAAAAGCGAGTAAGAGAACAGTGCTTGCAAAATATAATACCACATATACACAATAAACACACATATGTACACAAAGAGAAAGAAAAATGCATTTGAAACCTGTTTTTGTTAAATTTTTCTTTCGTTTTTTTTTTTTTTTTTTGTCGGTGTTGCCACTTCAGCAACATGGCGACTCTATGTAAGGTGCAGCGGGGAGTCGGGCAGGTGCTGAGAATTGCCGAACTGTTTTTAAGCGGCTGTTTATTATTGTAAAGACTTCTAGGAGCATACAGAATTATCTCGATATGAAGTTTAATTAAACAAAGTTTCTCATTTATGGGTGCAGTCAATGAGTATATACATATATATATGTATGTTTATGTACTTGTATGTGTTTACTACGCACATAGGCATACACAAATGCACGCGTACGTGTTATGAAAGTTTGACAATGTTCACACATACAAAGAAACCATCATTACACACACGCACACACATATGATACAAAAATGCATAAGTATATGGGATTTGTGAGGGGGTCATCAAATTGTTAACTTATATGACATTTGAGAGCAAGAGTTAATTTTACATGATACTACATGATGCTGTTCTACTTTTTCACTTACCATTAGCTTATCGCCTGCCACCAAGGGTAAATGCCTTCTGCCCACATAATTAGAATCATCTTCATCAGTATTATATACTTTAGTTAGTCTCGCCATGTTCTTTCCAAGACCAACGATGGCAGTTTCAGGCACTTTTTTGACGCACTTTGTAGCAACAAAACACAGCACAATGCTTGAAGCGTATTTTCAATTATATATTATACTAGAATATTGTGTTCTTTACACCGTAAATCGGCTTGAAAAATGATTTTTCTATGATTTCAAACACGTATGTAGGGTTCAGCAAGTCGTCCGGTCGCCATTAATAAATAGTGTTGCGTAACGAGAGACATTTGATATTTTTGCAGCACAGACGCCAATGCAACCTTGCATTTTTGACGTTGCCAGACCACACAAAAAGTTAGCCCGACTCAACAAGATGAGTTTTTTTTAGCGCGTTTTGTTGGTCTGTGTTGCTTTGCTGCAAAGTTGCTTTTGAGTAGATTTCCGTAAAATAACGCGTGCTTTTTAGATTGTTGTCTAATCTGGTCTTGCATTAACATTGACAAGATGTCGCATCACTATGTGGTGACTGCACAAAAGCCAACAGCGGTTGTTGCTTGCCTCACGGGTAAGTAAACGATGGCGAAATTAATTTTCAGCGTGCATATTGTGGCTAAATCGTAGCCGGCGTTATTAAGCAATTTTGCATTGCATTTTCTTTAGCTATATACTCATGCTTTTGTATATATACACATTTCCCAGGCAATTTCACATCACCGACAGACTTGAATTTGATTATTGCCCGCAATAATCAGGTGGAAATAGATTTGGTTACACCTGAGGGTTTGCGGCCTCTGAAGGAAATCAACATCAATGGCAAAATTACGGTAATGCGACATTTTCGTCCGCCGGACAGTAACAAGGACTTACTGTTTATATTAACGCGACGCTTCAATGTCATGATTCTCGAGGCACGCATGGTGGGTGATAATATAACCGTGATAACAAAGGCCAATGGCAATGTCTCCGACTCCGTGGGCATTCTATCCGAAGGCGGTTTTATTGCCGCTATTGATCCCAAAGCACGTGTGATTGGCATGTGCCTCTATCAGGGTCTCTTCACGATTATACCCTTGGACAAGGATGCCAGTGAGCTGAAGGCGACAAGCTTGCGGTAGGCTGACAAAAATGATCGAATTGGTTTTAAGCTTTTTATTATAATTGTAAATGTTTTGCAGCATGGATGAGCTAATTGTGTATGATGTGGAGTTTCTACATGGCTGCATAAACCCTACAGTCATCGTTATACACAAGGACAACGATGGTCGCCATGTAAAATCCCATGAAATTAACTTGCGAGACAAAGAATTCATGAAGCTCGCCTGGAAGCAAGATAATGTAGAGACAGAGGCTACCATGCTAATACCCGTGCCTTCACCTATTGGCGGGGTCATTGTAATTGGACGTGAATCCATTGTTTATCACGATGGCAGCAATTATCATGCCGTAGCGCCGCTGACCTTCCGGCAGAGTACCATCAATTGCTATGCACGTGTGGACAGTAAGGGATTACGTTATTTGCTGGGCAATATGGACGGGCAGCTCTATATGCTCTTCTTGGGCATCAACGAAACCGGCAAAGGCTCTACCGTCAAGGACATTAAAGTCGAACAGCTAGGCGAGATTTCGATACCAGAGTGCATCACCTATCTGGATAATGGATTCTTGTACATCGGCAGTCGCCACGGCGATTCGCAGCTGGTGCGACTCAGCTCTGAGCCCATTGATGGCTCCTATGTCATACCGGTTGAGAACTTCACGAATCTGGCACCCATTTTGGACATAGCTGTCGTGGACTTGGATCGTCAGGGCCAGGGTCAGATAATTACCTGCTCTGGCAGCTTCAAAGATGGCTCGCTTCGCATTATTCGCATTGGCATTGGCATACAGGAGCATGCTTGTATCGACCTGCCCGGCATCAAGGGCATGTGGTCCCTGAAGGTGGGAATCGATGACAGCGTCTATGAGAACACGCTAGTCCTGGCCTTCGTTGGGCATACACGCATCCTAACTCTGTCCGGGGAGGAGGTCGAGGAAACCGAAATACCCGGTTTTGCGAGCGATCTACAATCGTTCCTCTGCGCCAACGTGGAATACGATCAGGTGAGGAAATAACTAAGGAGCTTTAAGCA